ATTAGTGTGGTTTAGGTTTGTACATAGATGTGACGTCAGGAATGAAAAAAAAAAGTAATAAAATCTTCAGAGGTCGCTTTAGTAACAATTAATGGGAATAATGATAACCTATAGGAGACGCTTCACTATTATTATCAAAATGGCCTCTAGCGTCATAAATTAAAGCGACCCTTGGCGTAATTTTTAAGATCGTAAAAGAAGAAGAACGTTAAAAAAATAATAGGTTTTTTCTTAGTAAATGAAGAATTTTTATTTGGCTTGGTTAGAAGGAAAACGCTTGAGAGACTTCTATCAATATAGCGTCGAATTTTCTATTACTAAGTTCAATCTTATTTTCGCTCGGGTGAACTTTGACAGACTGACAAATTGACTTGTCTGCCGAAGTCACGGAAGCTGGAAGCAATGACAGTGGCGAGCTGGGAAAAATCGCGTGGAGGATACTCGCAACTATTCCAAATTACTGGCATTTTCTTCTTTTAATTAATACTCCACCTCGTCCCTGTTTACCTTTTACAGTGAATCCTAGAACGAAAGAAAAAGTCCTGCTGCGGTTGTGAATTCCTTACTTGCAACGTGTACCATTCTCACCTTGGCGGCTCGATCCGCTATTTAATTATGTCTTATCGCATTGTGGGTAGCAAAGAATGACTTTTGTTTCTACTCTTGCTTCGGAACTTATATCTCCCAATTAGGAGCAGCTTTATGTCGGTAGTTACCGCAGATATTTTTAAAAACGTTTCCAAATTAACGTACCGACAGTCCGTAGATCACTATGGCATCATCTACTAGCGACCGACAATAATTCTTTGATTTCTTTTTTTCCGTATTAATCGGTAGATGTCGCCTTTTTTTCACGGATTACGCTAGGAGTCGTTTTAATATTTATCAAAGCGACCTCTAATGTAATAAATGAGAAAAATAAAAAAAAGCGACCTCTATAGATCAGTGCCGTAATCGCTTCTTGTAACTATAAAATGTTTGGAAATGTTTTAATTTAATCAGCCATGAAAATTATGGCAAATCTCTGGAAAATTCTCTTTACATTAAACCGTTATGAGTATTTTTATAATCGAAATTTTTAAATTGGTTTATAAGATTTAATTAAAATGTGTACCTAAAGAAAATCACTAAAAACTATTAAAATTACTGAAGAAAATCAAGGTTAGTATTTACTCCATCTTTGATTTACTTTAGCATCTTTCAGGTAAGATTAATAAATATTTTGCTGTGACTAGTGATTTGCACGCTTCTGAAATTGAACAGGCCATTTGTTCTAGCAAATTTTAGAGTTTATAAGCCTCAAATCATTGTAAGAAATGTTTCAAATTACATACGTAACCGAAGATCTTATATAGAAACTTTAGCGTATTGTAAGCCAGCTTCAAGAATGTTGACAATAACAGTTTAGTATTTCTTAGAGCCACTAAAACATTGTAATTGTCGGTTTGAAACACTTAGATTATTTAAAGTGGATCAGGAATACGCAATACGCAATTTGGACATTTTAAATAATATAAATAGCAATGTTATGTAGCACGAAAAATCATCGCCGAAATAACTTACAGGATGTAAAAGAAATAAAATAAAATGAGTCTACAATAAACTTCTATTAAATTAAAAACATTGAAACGTATTTTGTTCTTTTTAAGACTGAAAACCGAAAGCAAAAATGTATGTATATGTATTTAAAAAAAAAAAGAAGCACGAAACTTTATATTATCTAAACAAAAAGATGAATCCATTTAGTAAGAAAACTATTCTGAATGTTCTGCTAGACTGCAACAGAAATTGATTTCACATTCTGGGGAAACAGAAAGGGGAGGATCTTTCAGTCGGAAACAAAGCCCTTAGCCACGACATGATTTACTGGAAGCCATTTCGCAGTTGGGTCCGTCATTTAGAGGGTTTCTGTTGCCGGCGAGGGGGGGAGCCACGAGCACGTGCCATTACGGGGAAGGATCTGACAGAACGTAGTCACGCTACCGGCGATCAATAGACTCGCTTTAGCATGCCAAATGGTACACGTGTAACTTATCTGCCCGTGCCGTCCTCTATATCTGCGACTACGAAATATCGTTCGGGTGTCCGCACCAAATTATACTATTGTTGTTTAGTGACGCCCGTGACGTATAATTCGTGACGTGCGGACGTGACGCCCGTCGGCAGATTTGTCATCCGTGGTGTTAAGGACAAGAAAAATGGGGGGTTGAACATAAAATTGGCATTTGGCGAGAGGGAGGATGGTCTAAATGTCTCTTCGACGCTGCGCTTAGATAACTTTGTTGGAGAGGGAGAAATCAGCATATAAAAAAATAGAAAGATGGAAAAGTTTCTAGATAATTAAACTCAATTAAAACCGATTGTAATAAAACTCCGGAATGTCATTATTATTTTTAAAAACTTTTAACTAATCGACGTAATTGCGTTTAGTAGAGGGAGTTGGGTGGGCTTTCGCTTTTTGTACATTTGTTTCCGGAGCAAAACCGAACGCGGAATTCGACTAAATGTAAGAAAGATGTTATCTTTGATATATAACTGTCATTTACTAAGATGGTTGCAGCTGTCGACTCATTTATTTTTTTTACATTTTTTATATATAGCGATAAATCTTCGATTATTCTTTTGCAGGGGAACTTTTCCAATGATGCCTTTTTGTATAGAGGGGGGGATACAGAAAGGACATTGAATTCGGATATTGATATTAATGGTATACTTAATATCGATTTTTAGATCAAATGTTTTGATTTCTGAACTATTACCTACGATGTCACTTCTTATAAAATATAAATTTTTCTGTAAAGTTGTGATAGTCCCGGTTTTTTTGCTTCCTAAACTAATTAGCATTTTACACAATTATAATAAAGTTTTAATGCCATTTTTTTGAAATATTTTATATAATCCGGTCCAGCGACTAAATGTAACGTCAGGCTGTCCTTGGAAATGCATTCTCTGGATGCTAAAGAATGTCCATCTTTGAGGAATTTGCGGTCGTCCATCACCAATTTATGGATATCCACAAGAATTCCCCGAGGGTAAACCCAGCTGCTTCTATAAGTTACTCGTGAAATAAAATCAAAGTTATGTTTGTTTCTGCGAAAATTCCTTTGTACGCTTTTTTATAACTTAAATATTTGTCCACTGTAATATAATTCTATTTCTTACATCATTTGGGCTATGACGTACAGTACATAACATATTTTATCTGCATTTATGTCTAGTTTTGAAGAGAGATTTTTCGCACCAGCATCACATTCATTCAGTTATGTAAATGTATATTTATATTTAGAATTTAGGTAATTATTCCGTGTTTTAATTTATTCCTTTCACGTATCTGGTAAGTTTCAAATGTACAGTACGTTTATGATGCGCGTTTAAGGTCATTTCAGTTTAATATAACTACTTAATTCTAGAAAATAATATTCTATATGCTTTTATCCTCAAAATTTGATTAGAATTCTGAGTATTTATGATAAATTTATCCTAGAGACTTCACATTTATTTGCTCAAAATAATCCACCAAGTGCTTGGACTGTAAAAATTTAGCGCATCATATACCCTGTTAGCACTTGTAAATCAGCGTTTATTCTGTATTACGCATCCCACCAGCTAAGTTTTGTAACACAAATTGATAAGCTATCTTATCTAAAAATTCAGCTTAGGAAAGCCCATAGTAAAAGCACTTTTGCATCATAAATATGGAAATTTTGAAGCGCAGCGATTACACGGCAATTACCTTTTAAAATATGTGGTAACTAATCATCTCTAGCAAAGGGTTGTCATATTTTGTGTACGAGATACTTAACCTAATTGCTCCAATTAAATCTCTCTCTCTTCTCTTCAGAGAATTTCGGAGCGATTTTTGGAGCTATCGCCAGAAATCTGCTATTAATATCCTGAGTTAAAAGTTGTTATAAGGGGGCATTATTTATTGTATGGGCCATTTACTTTTCTTGTTAAGAGCTCTTTGTTCGTGTGATGTATACAAGACCCTGCAGGAAATAGTTTGAAAGCTCGACACGCCCACAAATTACCGTTCTCCTTTTTGGCCCCTTCGGAAACAGGTAGTTTGTAGGTAGGGATACAACCTTTTGTTGTTTTATAATACCGTAAATTATCAATATTTCTGTTGTCGGCTATTAACTGTGTGTTTAAAGGCTTTTCGGTTATCAAATTTTGATGTCTTTACGACCTTGAATAAAACATTTTAAGAATTGTAATTTAAAATGTAGTTAATTTCTCGAAATATATGGCATATAAGTAACTTGTAGTTCTACACTGTAAATTATTTAGATGTTATTTCTGTCATATCATCATATCAGTTACAATTTTCTCCTATTGCATTATAATCTGTAACCTAAAGTATAATATAAACAAGTTATGAATAAAAGTAATTGGACAAATTTCATTACAAGTAGGCCTGTTCTATATCATAATCCACATAATTTCATTCAAATACAATATAATTCTCGTACTTTGTGTATCATCTAACGAAGAATAACATTTCGTAATTATTTCCTATAGCATTTACTATACTGTATATATTTTTCATTTATACGTATTTAAATTTTACCTATTTGCATGAAAGTTCAAACGTTCTCAATTAAAATTAACTGAGATATTAAAGATTTGACTGGTTAAAGTTAATCTTACAATATTAACTTGTAGCAGCAATACAGACGTGTACTGTGTTCATTTTATGGTTTACAGTATCTGATGTTATGGTATAAATTTACATACAAGCCGAAATTCAACGAGAAAATATAGCACATAAATGTACTAAACATGAAGCTGGATTTACGTTAGCAACCGAAGTATTATATGTTATAGCTTTTAGATGCCATATCTCAATATGGCTGAGTTTTAAGAAAGTTTTCGTTGATTTATGTCAAAACGTGAAACATATTGACACATATCTTGTATCTTATATGATAATAAAGTTAAAATAAACTTTTATACGTACTTGCAACTGGCTAACTTCCTACTCTTTTCTTTGCTCTTAGGGATAAGTGATGTTGCCAAAGTTAATCTTCTGCCCCAGCAATCAAAATTGCAGGAAGGAGGCGAATTGGTTCTCCAGTGCAAAGTTGACGGCTACCCAGCAGTGCACGTAGAATGGTACCAGAATGGCCACAGGCTATTTCGTAACGAATACGTTACACTCCGAAGTAAGAGACTGCACATTAGCCCTCTTCGACTGGATGACAACGGAATATATTCTTGTCGAGCTGTCAACGAGATCGGTTCGGTTGAGAGCAACGAAAACTATCCACTCGTTTTGGAAAGTAAGTCGGAATCTCATTCTTCCACTAACCGTGTTAGCTTCCATTAGAGTTTCTCTCCAACGGGGGAAGTAATTTTGCTTTACTGCTCCAAAGAGCCAAGTTTGAACGTAATAAATTATCTACTTAAAAGGAAAAAAAGAATCTTTAATGAGAGCTTCCACTTTGCAAAATAATCTTTCAAGTGGGTAAAAGACTTTAAAAAATAATACTTATCCAGTTACATTCCGCCATCTTGTTTTTTTTTCAATAAAATGTGGTCGGTCCAAAAAAAAACATTTAAAAATTAAAGCGCCCCCTAAAAAATAATTACTACATGAATTCCATGTTGTATGAGTCACTTAGATTTTACAAATGCGTGTGCCGGGCTGTGAACAGCTCACATATTTGTAAAATCTAAGTGACTCGTACAACATGGAATTCATATAAAATGGAAAAATCAACAGTGTTATAGGGGTGGTCAACTGTATAAAAAAAATCAGTTAAACCTTCAAAATATTTCAAAAACAGACAAGTTTTATATTTATATTTGTCCCCAAAANTTATTACTTTAACCCCCCTCGTTTTAGTAGATATCATTTGGATGATATATTGGATATCGTCACTTAAAATAGGTCTGTGTAAAAGTAAAAAAAAAAAAAAATGTTATATATTTTAAGTGATTTATAGCCAAATTTTTAATGTATTTCTTTTGGGCGGAGCTGCGTATTTCATTCCCATATGAGCTTTGCCCAAATGGTTAACGTCCGCTCGATTCTTGTATGCTTTTATGATGATTGTAATAGTCTTTCGGGTGTTTTTTTGTAAAAATGTTTCGCAACTTTTCCGTTTTTTTTAATATAAAAGTCATAACGGGCGTTTGTTTTGTCGCGATACTGTACACCTTTTTTGTCAATTTGACATAATTTTTGCGTTTTCTTTTTATAAAAATGTAAAATTAGCGTCAAGATGACCGTTAAAACGTACACAATGCATATGTAATTCAAAAATGTTGTATCGATTTTGATTTTTAACATTTTTTTTTATTGTATTCGGTGTCAAAAACAGCTTCTTCGCCCAAAATTAATTTTTTTTGGGGGGTGTTTCCAGGATCGATAATTATAAATCAAGTTTTGCTCCACCCAATTGGCACTAATTTATTACTGTTTATGATATAAGTGCCGATTTAGTGTCACGTATGGTATAAGTGCTGTTTAAATGTCACTTAGAAGAAATAAATTTTTAAAAAGGCAAATGCTGTAAAACTTGAATTTATTAAAGCTGATATAAATTCATTGTGTCTTCTTTCAAATATTTTAAAATGGCTTATAGGGAACAATTTAAACAAAATATAACGTCTGATATAATTGGATATCACGTAAGCAGAAGAGCGAAACTTCTCTGTTATTTATCGAATCAAATTTCTCGTCTCAAATTTAGACAAATTCATTACTTTATGTAGTTGATGCGACGTTGCATCATTCTCTATACAGAGGGGAGGAGGTTTTAAAAAAAAATGTCTTTCTCTGCAAAAAAATAAAAAATTTCGTATAAAACAAATAGGAAATATTAAAAGGGATATACAGAGCAGGAAATAAATAACGGGAACATATGATGTTTCTTGAGTAAACGAGGTGAATCTCATCCAATCTGGATCAAGATGCCCAGGATGAAAAGATAACAAGAAAAGGAAAAAAACAAAATGGTTATTGATAGAACGAGCTATAACGAAATAGGTCATAAATCCTTTGGTGTTTTTTAGCGCGTGACGTGAATATAATCGTGACGTCAGCTGTAAAGGGTAATTAAAACAAGAGCATAAATCCAGCCTAAGTTACTGCAAACGCATCATGAAATAGAGCAGTTTTCGTACGAACGACCACGTAAAAAGTAACTGCATAAGCGCTTTTTTTATTATTATTATTGAAACTTTTAAAAGTTTACATATGCGATTTATAAATTGTAATGTTTAAAACATCATTTTTACGCGTGAAAAAGTGTTAGTAAGTTACTGTATAGGGAGTTGATCCTTTGTTACTTGTGTTAGAATTAATTTATATAAGCTTTTGTATGCGCTCATGCAGAAAAGATCTCATCCTTAGTATAGGAGGGAATAAAATAAGACTCTTTTCTTCCTTTTTTGACTGTAATATGAGTAATTTTTCCCTTTTAAACAATTAAAAACATTATATATTTCTTACACAATGCACTTTTTAGTGTGAAGCATTTACAAGAGGATTGTTTAAATCTGTTTTTTAAGTATGTTTTTGTTTATATAAGTAAATGGTCTATTGTGTAAGATATTAAGTGTCTTTTCAAAAGGCTAGAAATGTTTATTTTTCTAACTTTTTTAAGAGAAAAAAATACCTGTTTTTCTAACCTAAAACTGCATAATTTAAAGATGTTTAATTCAAAAAATATGCGCTTGAATTTATGCAATTTTTTTCTTTTCCATTCGTCGGTATAATAATAAAAGAAATTTATGTTAACAGTTGAAATATAAAAAATTATTTTTAGTTTAATATTGAAAAAAATAAATATTTTTATAGAATTTTTTTTCTATAACTTAAAATTATTGCATCAACGCTTTGAAAAAAAAACACAGTTTGAAGCATCTAAAAATAGAATTTATAACATTGAATTCGAAATTGGAAATTCGATTTAACGGTCAAATCGCTTTACTTCCCTTTTGTTATTATCATCAAAGTGGGATTTATGTAAGTTGCATGACTCTTATATTTTTGTCAATAGCGGATTTAGACCCCTCTACACCCTTAGGCAAGAAGATTTTTGGGGTCTTTCTTGCTGTTTATAATGTCAAGCCTCATACTAAAATTTATAATAACTTTTAAAAAAAAATGTTTTTCTTACTTTTATGAGGTATAATTTAACGTTATCTGAGTTATGCCGTTTGTTATCGTTAGTTTGCCATTCATATACGTAGATAGTGGACGATTATATAATTTTAGTGATATAATTTGATAATTTTTTTTTAGATTTCTAAACGTTAAATTGCTTTCTACGGCACTAAAATGCCAAATATTATGTTTAAAGGATTTTATTCTAGTTTAAAGTACGTACTAAATCCTTATCTCTTGGTATATTGTAAGGTGAGAGGTCTGACAACTATCCATTGCTGCTGTAAATTTTCGAATTTTTAAGAAGATAAATTATCGTTTAGCAACTTTTAAAATTGCTTAGTTTAAAGGTTATGACCTTTTAATTCTGTAGAGAGTTCGATTTACACGGTTTAAATGGCCCCATATTTTTATTTTTTTGCGTTCAAAGAGGTGATGGCATGAAGTATTGCAACATTTTTACAGTTGGATATGTTTATTTTTCAAGCTTCTAAAAGATGAATAAGTGTTTCGCTACTTTAAGAATGCAAAGAAGTTAAGATTAGAACATTTAATTCAAGTTGGGAATTCCAATTATGCTATTTAACCTGTTACTTTTAGCAGTAAGAACAGCGAATTCTTGATTATTTCGTTGTTAAATTGTATATACAACTACCGTGTATGTGTTCAAAAGGTACTTAAGATGCCTATTTTTATTTTTAGGTAATAAATTGCTGTTTTCTAACCTTAACGTATGGTTATGGATTTTTTTTCTTTTTTTAAATGTGTAATTTAAAGTTATAATTCGTCGGCGTGCGGCTTGAAAATTATATAAACTTTTCAAAATGTTCTAGTGTTTTGAAAACTTCGCTTGGACTAATTATAAACTATAAAAATTTCAAGAAATGTCAATGCAATTTGAAAAATGTAAATACAGTCAACCCCCCCTATAACACTGTTGATTTTTCCGTTTTATATGAATTCCATGTTGTATGAGTCACTTAGATTTTACAAATGCGTGTGCCGGGCTGTGAACAGCTCACATATTTGTAAAATCTAAGTGACTCGTACAACATGGAATTCATATAAAATGGAAAAATCAACAGTGTTATAGGGGTGGTCAACTGTATAAAAAAAATCAGTTAAACCTTCAAAATATTTCAAAAACAGACAAGTTTTATATTTATATTTGTCCCCAAAAAAACTAAAAAATGTTTTTAAAAAAGACAATAGTAAAACTTAAAAGAGCCCGCTTTAAAATGTCATTCAAACAGCAAAATTTTTTTTGAAAAATACGTAACGCTGTATCCGATACAAAGCTAGAAATTTCATATAGGCCTACGTATAATTTAAACTAATATATTTACTTCTTTTGTTAATGTAAATAACGTGGGCGACACATAAGATGCTCTCTTAAGTGCCGCCGCAAGAGAGTATTTCAACGTTTCTGTTTAAAAAAAAAAATGTCTACACAGTAAGCAAATGTCAATGAACGTAAGCTATATGGACTATAATTAATGTGTTTCTACTTGAATATTTTTACTTAAGCACTGTTAGCCTGTGGTATCCAATTACTGAATCTTGTAGCGAGTTGGCTTTTGTGCACTGTGCGGGACATCTGTCTCAATAGTGAAGAATACGCGAGGTTAGAACATGTTGAAGATGTCCCTTTGTTCGAATTATGTAAATCTATCTGACATTTACGTAGAATAATTAATTTGTTAACTGGAAATGATGTTTATAAAGGGAAATACATAACAGGATATGCCTTGTTTGGCGGTTTAATTTAATATTTAAAATTTAATTTCTAAATTTCGAAGTGTTGTGTGTGTACGTATATGTAAACATTGCTGACTTCCCATTTTTCGTATGATAATTTGATATATTGGTGCTTCTCTCTTTTATTTTATTAATTTTATTAAGATAAAATGAGAGAGAAATTTGCTAAAATTAAGGACGNACCGAGTCTCCACGTAAAAAAAATGGCGACTCGTCTAATCGAGCCGCCATTTTGAAAAACATCGTAAAAGAGTACATATAAAGTTATATAAATAAGTAAATTTATTTTGTATAAACTCGAAAACATTTTAAAATAGAAAATTCATCATAATTATAGTAATCCTAAGCGTAAAATATAGCCATTTTCTCTAACCCCTCCCCCCAAAAAAACCAAAATGGTAACTTTGTATGTATATATAAAATACATAAAATATGACAGTTTAGTTTAAAAATATATCCTTTTTTTTAATCTACAAATCCGGACATTGATAAGTTAAATTGCATTTTCAAAGAATCGAAATTGCTAAATTTATCACGACTTTTCTATTTCCAAAGTCGCCATTTTTTAAAATCAAGAATAACGGTTAAGAAAGAATAACTATTATAAAACCGCTCGAGTAAATTTGTGATAAATGAACAAAAATTACATTTGCGGAGTCTCAAAAAGTGTTAAAATTGAAAATTTATCGTGACTTTATACCACGCTTGGGACCGCCATCTTCGTCATTATGACAGCCGGACGCTTCGAAAATGTCACCAAAAAAGAAGGGGGGAAAAATCATCTACCAAATACATAATTATAGTTATATTATGAAAGTAATCGCATTATCCAAAAATTTGTTTTTGATAGATAGAAGACGTTGTGTTGCCGTAACACAATATCGACCCGAAGTTGGGATAAGATCTAGTTAGCATCGACTGTATGGGAAACTTAATTATCTATCGGGCAGTTGACAAGTTTGTTCTATGGACTGTGTCAACAGATTAAAGCTCTAAAAACTATCCAAATAACACTGATTGATTATAGTAGTAATAATTATTTAAAACATAAATCCTTTGTTTCTACAATAGTAACTTTTACGACATATTAAATCGGTCACACGGAGCGTGAGAAGGATGAAATTGCTTCGTTGACAGATTATCGGATATCTTTTGAACGAATCATTCAATCGTTCGAGTGTGTTTACGCTGATAATTCTAAGCTTTTGTTACTATAGTAGTTCATTCATCATTGCTTTTTATCGATTCGATAATATATACTTTTCTCTTTCTCTTTGATAGGTAGCGAAGTGCCGAAGATTGTCAAGTTACCAAGAGACGAAATCGTTCCTGTAAACGGTTCTGCCAGATTCGATTGCGTTTACGAAAATGCTGCTACAGTTACGTGGTTTGCACATAAGACGAAATTCTCCCTTTTGAATGATTCCAGGTAATAAATATAAACGTGTTTTTTTTTCAAATATGCTGCGAAGTAACTGATATTTGCAACTACAGTAGTACAATATACAGTACGTGTTTAACTTAGGTGCATCTAAAGAAAAATTAAACACACGTAATGGCTTGTCAGTGCACTAAGATTTTAAGTGTTCTCGATTTTTTTTTTTTTTTTTACAATTAGTCAATTGTGAAATTTGTATTTTTGAACTCTCGAAACGTCCGCCACGTGGAAAAAAAAAAGTCAATAGATGGCGTCGTTTAACATTACAGTACTTGCTCATATTTGAAGGCCATTTTACATCGCGCCATCTGTTGATTAGTTTTGTAACTAGTACATAACTAATTTTAATTTTAAAAATTGTATTTAATTTTTATGTATATATAATTTAACATTATCTAAATGTTTGTTTCATTTAAATAAAATTTATTATTATTATTATTTTTTTTAATCAATATTTGAACAGCTTAAATAAGCTCAAAAGATTTAAATGCAAAAAAATCTGTATCATTACATGCAAATTTTTTTTTACTCATGTTTAAATTTTAATATAAGATTCATAGATGGATTTTTCCACTTGCCATCACTAGATCAATATAAAAAATTGATTTTTTTACCCCCCTGTCTTTTCTTCCTCTTTTGCCTTCCCTCCTAACGCAAGCTTTAACTCACCATCACAACTTATCGAATTTAAGTCGAAGAGTTGGTATGGCATGACCTCAAATTGTTTCTTTTAGTTGGCAAAAAGTTTTTGCCCTTTGGGATTTGCTCGGTCTTCTCTACCAGAAAGGTACAATCTAATTACCGAGGTGAAAATTTGTTCTGCTGCTTGCAAAGAAAAAAAAATTGACTTATGAGTTTAAAGATGAAGGGAAAAAAAGGTAAAGAAGAGTGAACAAGCAAAAGAGAGAGAGAGAGACAACTTGTTTGAACTCAGGTTTTATATCAGGTTATTGGATAAACTGGTTTATCACAATTACTTCAAAATTCTGTTGACAGAATTATAAATGACCCTAACTTGATCACTCTGTAAAATATGAGAAGTTATTGGAGGATTTTTGATGCTGTAAATCCACACCTGCCAATGTAAACAAATTTGGAAAATCATAATAATTTTCTTTCCTTTTGAAAGAAAAAAAAAATCAAAGTAAAATTTATGCAAACATTAATAAATTAAATTATAATTTTTTTTTTTATTTACAAATGTTAACAACTCTCATTAGATTATAAAAAAAAGCTGTAAATTTTTTTTTATTTTATTTTATCATCATCATATTTTTCTCTGTTTTCATTTGAATAAAATTATGTTTATTTTGATTTCAGAATTACTGTTTATAAGAATGGATCACTGTTGATTTTTCCTGTACAAGACACCGATGAAGGTTTCTATCACTGTGTTGGTGAAAGTACTTCAAAGACTGGATTAGTTCAAACTTATTCTGCACGTCTACAACTTGCTTGTAAGCCAATAGAGCCAATATTATGTAGTTTATAATAAATCACGAATGACACTTTAGAGAATTAAAATGAACATTCGCTTATTAAAAATCATTCAAAAATTAATAGAACCAGATCCAAATCATAATCGTGGTTTGGGTCGATGCCATTCTACACATTTCATCCGTGTGTAGAGTTCAATCGTCAGTACTTTGGGCTCCTGTTGCTTGTTCTGATATGCTTTCGATTTATTATATATAGTACATACTTTTTTCCCTTCATTTATGCCCTTGTAATTACATAAATTTAATTAATAATTTAAGTCTACAAAACCAAGTTTCATCATACATATTTTGGCCTGGTAGGTAAAATTTCCCCCCCTCCAGTTGTCAGCCCTGGTTTCATCATTACTAATCAATCCTATTGAAGGTCTCACTTATAATGGATGTAATTGTAACCAATCATATAATCTAAACACACTGGTGCCTCAAATTTTCTAGTCAATCAATTGCTTAATATTTGATTTAATTTAATAAACTAGCTTACTGGTGCATGGCTAAAATGGCTCTTGTGTAAATGAAAGTCAATCAACCTTCCACTAGCCTTTTAATGATGCAAAAACATTAGTGTATGTCACACTGAGGCAGGAGTTACAACAGGTTAACCCCTTTTTAAAACAATAACTTGTGTATAAATCATGAACAACATGCATCTTTTCCAAACCAGTTTTAACTGTTCTTAAACTATATCTCAGTTAACTAACTTTTGAACCAATCTATTTATTCGTAAAAACTAAAAGGTCAAATATTTCATCTGAACTTTAAATTTCATCTAATCTCTAAAATTTGTCATAAGTAATGTAAATTGATATCCTCATCCTGTGCTTATTGATCTCTGAGTGAGCATCATGTTGCCCTGTAACAATTATGACAAACTAAACAACATAAATGTGCCAATGCTCACCCTTTTGGTACTAAGAGGGCCTTTTCTCTGTTCCTAACCCTAGCTGGCTGGTAAGGGATAGAACCCAATATATCCAGGAATATCCAGGAGAGACTGTTATGAAAAATTCTTGGAGTTATTTCAACCATTCAAATTCAATCCCAGTCCCTCAAAGCAGTATGTTGATTCCTTAATTGCCTTGTTTACCCTTAGCTATAAATTTTATATATGTTATATATACAATCATCATTTGGATATGAGTCCTCAAAATAGCAGACTCTGTCTTTAACACCTCAGCTCAAACATTAGAGATAACAAATTTCAGTATACCATGCACTATCACTAATTCAAATTATCTATTGGATGGAGATAAGGTTAATGAAGGATTAGTGTTGTCATATATAAATAATAGGAAATCAAAAAGAACTATTCACAAATACATATTAATTTTACAGATTTGATGGATTTCTAACAATTAAATCTATGACTTTTAAAAAATAATAATGCTTAATTTAAATAACTTTTTAAAAATTTTGATACATATTTTATTCCATTTAGTTTTGGAAGCTATCAATGAAAATAATTTTGAGCCCCGTCCAACAATCGACATGATGATGATAGCTCCAAAAAATTACCAGTTTGAAGTTATGTGCCTTCCTCCGTTAGCTCGACCTAATCCTAAAGTTTGGTGGAAAGATCCATCAGGACGTGTTGTCAGCGATTCTGGAAAAGTAAGAGTGGACGATCTCAGATTAATTATCGATGCAGTGAATGAAAACGATGCTGGAAATTATACCTGTATTGCTGAAAATGCAGCAGGAATGACAGAAAATTCCATTCAGCTTTTTATAACAGGTTAATGATTTAACTTTTATCATAAATTATTTGGTTTTATTTCGTGATTTTTTTTTTTTAATAAAAATCTTAAATTTTGTAGTTCCACCCAGTATAAATTCAGAATCAACAATACTATTAATTGGTGAAGGAGAACCTGCAGTATTATTATGCGATTTTACTAGTAGTCCCTATCCTGCCACAACAGTTCATTGGCTAAAAGACAAGAAGTACGTCAGGACTTCTGGAACAAATTTCATATTTTCACCTCAAAATGGAACACTTTACATTAAAAATGTTCAATTGAATGATGCTGGTTTGTATACATGCAGAGTAAACACAACAGGCTTTCCACCAATACAGTCAGAACCAATCACATTAAATGTTAAAGGTAAAAAGAGTTTAAATATATATCAATTTGATTTATATTATATATTTAATGTTTATGAACTGTTTCTCTGTTCTAGAAAAACTTAAATTTGTCCCACCACCTGTCAATAAGAAACTGGAACTAAATTCAAATGCTAAAATTTATTGCAAAGCTCGAGCAACAACACCACCAAAAGTTAAATGGATCAAAGAAGGAGGACCCCTTTATTTCAAATGGCCACCTCATATCAGAGATGATAACGGCACGCTACATTTTAACTCCGTTAAAGCCGAAGATTCTGGCAGGTACATGTGTGTGGCAACCAGTGCTCAAGACATAATTAATACCACGATACAAGTCGACGTTATTGGTAACTAACTACAAAATAAACACTTAATAATTTAGCCATGATAGCTTAGTGTTAAATTTCCCCTGTAACTTTGCAGTGCTTCCACAGTTTGTTGTCAAGCCAGCAGATACCGAAGCATATGAAGGTTATTCAGCCATGATCCATTGCATGGCATCCGGAGATCCTCTTCCAACTATCCAGTGGGATAAAAATAATATTCTTAGTGGTTTTGATCCGAATAGATTTGCAGTCATGAAGAATGGGACTTTATTTGTGAGTGAAGTTCACATGAACGATCAAGGAAAATATGGATGCACAGCAGGAAATAGCGGGGGCTTCAAAAGAGCAGAGATTAGCTTTGTTGTTAAAAGTAAGATTTTGTTTGATTTTTTTAAATTAAAAGAACTTGACAGATCACCTATGGGATTGTAACCATGGATGATCTGCCATGGTAGTGCTCCCTGGGAAGACTTTCATTCTGGAAACTGGGCCCTATTTAGATGTTAAATGTATTAAAAAAAAACCTAGAAAACTCCAATGGCTAGCTCATTGGTTGTAGGTTTGTAACTTTCCAACTGTCAGCACTCAGTTTTATCTATTTGACCACTGGTGGGCTTATTAAAAAAGACATGGGCACAAAATATACAAAAGAGAAGTGAAATCCTGAAAATATTATTCCATTTAAATGATGAGGGAGTAAATATTTTTACTGACAAAGTTTATTGCAATTCAGTTGTGAGAAATTCTATATATTCTCATAGCTGTTGTGCTATCAAATAGTAATCTCTATCAAAATTCATTAAATATTTATCTGTGAGTAACACATTACATTCTATCCACCCATTTTTAAAATATTCTATACTATTACAGGAAATACTCATTAATTTGAACTCAGATAGTTCAAAATTCTGTTAGTTCATAACTGTACTTTTGTCCTGATTGGGGGTATGGAGACTTATATGTTAAAAAATTTGGTTAGTTTGAAATACAGCTACTTCATAATTCAAAGTGAAAATTCTGTCCAAACTGTCAGATGTGTACATTAACTCATTTGTTTAGATCAAAGTGCCTCCATGCTATAAGAGAACAACAGACCAAGAACAACTCTAATCTGGTCAATACGACTTTGCTTTTACAGTAACACATTTTCGGGTGTCACCTTACATGTGGATCATCCCTTTTTTTTTCTTATTTGATAAAATACAGCTGGGTTTTGGGATTGCAAAGATTGGGTTGCAAGTAGCAGATTGAGATAATTGTAGGGCTCTAGACTACTACTTTTTAGATGACTTCAAAAATAATTTGGGTTACATTTTAAGGAATTCTGCTTTACTTTTTTATAAAACTTATCTGGCAACTTGTGAGGTTCTCATATTATTAATAATTATTAATTAATGAAATTAGCATTATATATATATGTAACCATATTCTGTTTGCTTAATAAATTACATCATATATGTGGCATTTGGCATATTATACAGAAATATCTAAATCTTGAATAATTCAGATAATTCGGAAGTCAAACTTACTATATGACAAACTAACATTGGCAACATGGTCATTGTTTATTATAAAATTTGTTTTCTTAATTATGTAAATATCTATCACAACATTATGAAAACAAGACTTGAACTATGTACACATTTTTTTAAGAACTAATCACATTTCTATTACAAAGTAATAATTTTCTATTGGAATTTCACAAATAGCTTTTGTGACTTGAAGTATAAATAATCATCTTATTGACTTAGGATTATTATTACAAATAAGGGACTTATTCTTAATGAATTATGTAAACATAAATATAATAAAAAAGCCAAATTACTCTCAAATTTTATACAGACTAAAAGATGCTGCACATACAGTAAAATTATGGTGAAATTTAACATTGACTGGTTCCACCAATCATTTCTTTTGACTTACTCATTTAAACAAATCATCCATTTAGTTAACAATCTGTCATTAATGTTCAGTGTCATTTGACTTGATCAAGAAACCAAAATATGATAAGTGTTATCATCAAAATTATTTTGCTTTTTTTCTATAGGTTCAGAAGATTATGTTACTGATCATGTTGGACAAAATGATCATGATGCAGAATCAAATACTATGACTAAAACTGTCATGATAACACTTGGAGCTGCAGCTATTTACATGACATTAGTAATTGGCCTGATGATTTGGTGCAGGTTCCGAAGGGCACGAAGGAAAGCTTTTCTTCTTGCACAGACATCTGCAGAAGGTAAATGTGCTCTCTACTTCAAGAGTTTGAATTGTGTTTATTCTATTTCCATGGTGGCCAAACTGTAGCTCGTGAGCCACACATGCCACTCTTCTAGACTTTACCACGGCTCTCATATCCAATTGGTAAAACCAGTTTCAATATAAAATACCATTCTAATAGAGGATGTGGTGTATTTCTAACAGGCAATATGTGGCTTGTATCATGATAAGGTTTGGCCATCTCTATTCTAATTAAGCAAATAACATTCATATTTTAATTTCAGTTGCAAAATTAGAAGATGGAGAAATTCCAAATAACACAGAAATGAAAGAAAAGACTAGAAATGGGGATATTGGTGATGGTCATTGTAAAAGTGATGGAGAAATGCAGTCACACAGTTCTGGATCACATCATTCAAAAAGAAGCCGTTGTTCCTATGACAAATTACAATTTCCTCAACAAGATCTTGAAATGATGATGCTTTTAGGTAATCAAACAGAGAAAATATTTTCAAAAATTAGAAATAGAGTAAACAAATATTCACTTACTTTTTCAGGAAGGGGTGAATACGGAGAAGTATGTCTGTCAAAAGCTCGTGGGATTGTTGATGGTGATACCGAGACTGTGGTTATGGTAAAGATGCTCCAGACAAAGGATGAAAATGCTCATTTTGAATATAAGAGAGAAATGGAAATGTTACATAAACTGAATCATAGTAATATTGCAAAACTTCTAGGAATATGTCGCGAATCAGATCCGTTTATGATGATTTTGGAATATAGTGACTGGGTGAGTTGAGTTTATTGTTAACTTATATATCAAACAATATATTAGATTAAAATTTATTATAATTTTAATAATCCTTAGGGTGATTTAAAACAATTCCTCTTGGCAACACGTAAAGATCATTCCACTAATGGACCAAAACCTTCACCTCCAGGCACTTCTGATATGATTGGATTATGCCATCAGGCAGCACTCGGAATGGAAAATCTGTCAAATCGGCGTTTTACGCACAAAGATTTAGCAGCCCGAAATTGTTTAATCTCATCAAAATTTCATTTGAAAATAAGTTGTGTTGGATTATCTCAAGACACTTATGCACAGGAATATTATTTGTTCAGAAACAGATCGATACCACTTCGATGGGCCCCGGCAGAAGCCATCTTAGAAGATGAATGGTCGACCAAGAGCGACGTGTGGTCCTACGCCGTCCTCATTTGGGAAATATTTAACCAAGCAGAACTGCCATTCAGTGAACTGTCAGATAATAAAGTGTTTCAGCTGATAAAAAAGCAACAGTTACAATGTCAAACTCCAAATGGTGCTCCTGAACCACTGTGTTATCTCTTAAATCAATGCTGGAACCAGAGTCCGAAAGATCGACCATCTTTTAGCGAGATAGTTTTACATATAGAGAATCATGTCATGGATAGTAAAGTCTAAATTAAGACCCAAACTTAACTGACATCTTATTGAAGACATACAAGCAGATATTTTAGTATAACTTAAAAGATACAACATTTTTGTTTCAGAGCAGCAATGGAAGCATCTAGTCAGGAATACTACTATGAAATTACACAATTAGAAACTGTTAATTCAAATATGCAACAAGATTTTAAACTATTATATCAATATTCAGAATACAGAATCTTATAACTCGTGTAAAGTGATCAATATTTATTTTTTAACCGTGAAAAAACTAGTCATACAACAATAAATTCAAACATCATACTTGCCATATTTGGGGCATACCAATGAGTTAATATGTATAAATTTTAGCAGTAAAGTATTTACATGTATATCAACATGGTGTTTCTATACTCATTTTTTCCCCCCTAGTCCATGTAGATAAAGTTTTCGAAATATAGTTTTCGTTTCATTTACAAAAAAGATATTGGAGAAAACTTTTCAAATGACATCTAACATGTTAAAATATTGGAAAAAAAATATTAGATGTTAACACGTATTTGCCATTTCGAAACTAAGCAAACTTTGATTTAGCAACTAAACAGTTTTGTATATCATAAACTGCATTTTTATAAACATTTAAAATTTAAGTCAATGTATAAAAAAAATCATTTTGTGCCATAAAATGTTTACTTCAACTCTTCTATATTTTGTAAAATCATTTTGCTACAGATGTGGCAATTTTTTTACAATTTTTTTTGTACTGATCAGAATTTAGATGGTAATTTTTTTTTATCTGTTTGTATATATCTATATATATATTGCATTTTTTAAACTTTTAATTAAAGAATAAAATATAATGATTACTTTACTTTCCTTGGTCCTTGGTCTCTTAATCATTTACAATCACTTAGAATAGAATTTTTCTGTATACAAAACACATTACAACTTAGATAGTAAGCAGAATTTGAATTTTTGTCTAACTCTATATCAGGATTCACTTGAGGCTCTTGAAGTACATTGAGTCAATAATGTGGTAACAACACAATACAGTACTGATATTAATGGTACCATGAAAATATATCTTGGTTGTTGTTAACCCTTTTCAACATTTACTACATGGAAATTAATGTGATTTATCTTTTCTAAGATGATAAAAATAGTGATGTTACTAATCTTTTCACTTGTAATCTCACACATTTACACAAGTGTGACATGGACAAAACATACAAGAGGCATATGTCGCCTCTCCTGGAACCAATTACCAATGTAAGGCGAGGTATACCCAGTGGTGATATTCAGCAGGTTCACACAGGTTCGGCCAAACCCGTTGTTAACATTTTCAAAGTTTTCCGAACCCGTTGTTAAACACAAGTAATATTTTTCAGTGGTTTTGTTTCTTTTAAAAAATATTTTAAAATGTACGTATTATACTCTGTAACACTACTAAACTAGAGCCTTATACCCCGTTCGACTTGGTGCAACCTCCATCGACCATTTCAATCTCTATCAACTCAAGAAAGTTCTTGAAACTAGTCCAGTCGTACGAGATGTCCCACAATCCCACGCATGCAAGAAAATACAAGATGGCTGCAGAACACATGTCGTGCTATTGTCAGCGAAATATAAAAGATATTGTATTTCGATAGACGATGACATCTGTCTATTATTATAATAATACCTAATGATAAAATAAATGATTTAGAAAAGTTTTTGTTTTTTGAGGAAAAGTCACAGGGAAAGCAGTTAAACCTGACTTTTTCTGATTAAAAATAAGCCAATTTTTATGTTTGTAAAATACTTCGAATGAAAAATATTAAAATACTAGCTGCAAGATCCCGCTTCACTGGGTTTTTATTTGTATGTAATATAGTTTTTTTTATATATATAAAAGACTGTTTTTCTAAGTAATCTAGAATCTAGCTGCAAGGACCCGCTTCGCTGGGCAAAAAGTAACGATAGTGAAGATTAAGATAATTACATTATAGCTAATCTTACCCGTTTTCACAGAATGCAAGAATTAGGTCCCCCGTTTCCAGACTAATTAGAGAATTTTTACGTTTAGTCAAACGAACAAATTTCAACGTTTCTGGAACGTTTTCAATCGTTCTATAATCGAACAAATTCGAATTTTATGTTCGAATTTAATTCGAACAAATTCGAAAAAATCGAACAAAACATTCGAAATAGAAAGCCACTTTCAACCACTTTCAGCCTCATATCTCCCGCACCCTTATAGCTATCGAGACGCAACCACCCCTATGCACGAATGGAGACTTGGGGCTACCACCACATACAAACACCATTCACGTGCGATGTGTAGTTTTGGCAAAAAAGTGAAATATAGGGACATGCATGTCCATTTTTATATATATATATAGATATAGATGTACAAAATAAATCATTTTGAACACTTTTTTTTATTATTTATCAATATATATATAGTTCTGGCATAAACAATGTTAAACTTTAACTGATTTAATTTTGCAAACACATCTTTTTTATTTATATGGGTATCTTAAGGTCAGTTTTTGCGCTAATGTTGCTAATGCACCATTTGAGCAAAAAAAAATTGTTAAGGAAAAATTTTCTGTTAGCGAACCCTTTGTTATATATTTCAACTATCACCACTGGGTATACCTGTATATGTTTTTTATATCCATCATGTAAGTATTCTTTTTTATGGTTTCAGATGTGTAAGAGTGATAGTTGATGGTCTTATTTACAAGGTTTTTTATATGTTTTGAATGAGAATTTATCTATATCATTAGTTATTGTAATATCCAGAAAAGTTTTTTGGTTATGCTTTTCTAATTCAATCTCAAATTTTATATTTTCATTTATATTATTTATTCTATTTAATATTATTTTATCATTAGTTATTTTGTTGTTATAAATTAATAAATAGTCATCTATATATCTCATTACAATTTTCACACCAGGAATATTTTGCATTTTTTTATCTATGCTTTTCATAACTAATTCGGCAAGTTTTGGCCCCATCTTTGATCCCATACTGACCCCATCGATTTGGTAAGGATAGTCAACAGGCAGACCTGCTACAATTGGTTCGAGACATTTGAGGATGGAGATTTCTTGCTTCAAGATGAACCCCCGTCCAGGCAGAAATTCCGTCATTGATTAACAATCTCCTGAAAATGACAGACAATAATTCACAGTTGACCAGCAAAGAATTAGCATTTCAAGTTGTTCCCATATACCCTAAAAATTAACTGAGACCTTGACAGCATACAGACCAAAGACGACCTTAGAAAAGCTGGCCAGTCTGGGCTTGGAGGTTCTGCTGCCTCATCCACTTAACAGCTCACCATACAGAACCATATTGCCAATACACAGTTCAATGACAATACCTAACACTCAAGTCTTTCTTCATAAAAAATCAGTTATTCTATGCTCGTGGGATTGAAAGTTTGCAGCAAATGTGGCAATATATGATTGATATTGATGGCAATTACTTACAGTTGTAATGGTGAAACGATACATATACACTCTGTCCTCCTTAACTGCCTCCATCTGAGTTTGGCTGAATTCATGATGAACACTATAAAAGATCTCTGGACAGATCTACATTTGATTTTTTAGTAACAAGATAACTGATAAAGCACCTTTATAGGATTCTATCACAAATCAGTATCTAACTTCATTTAGAAACAAGATTTATTGTTGACATAAATAAGTATACAAACTGAAATTCATATTAAAAATACATTGTTTAAATGTGATATATACATACATTTTATTACATTAAGACAAGTTCATTCATCTACTCTGTCCAATTCATTTAGAAACTTTCTACACTTTCCCATGAGAATTTTAATAGCTTCTTTCATTAAGAGAGCTGGTGAAAGAGCACCTGTTGACTCTATAAGAACTACATCAAATAACAATAATTAAATTTAAATTTTTATAGAACATGAAATAAAAATGTAAATATTTTCAACACTCACATATGAAATGATTTCGCACTCTGCTGAGTCGGACACTGTCTTTTAGGTTTTCATACCTGAAAACATTACGACTGCAAGTGTCTTTACGTGCATTGGAAACTCTAGCAACCTCACGACCTATTATAGAAACAAAATAAACTTTTGTTGTTTTGATATTAACACTTATATTAGCTCTTTAATTTCATATATGATTATATATAAATTTGTGTTTGGACGTAACTTTTTTATTTTTATGCTGAAATGAATGATTAGGTTGAGATTATTTCATCTCCAAGGCATCTATTCTCAAACTTTCAATGGGTAAGAAGTACAATTTACCTAACTGAAGCATGGATGATTCTCAGGATTTTTTCTTCCTTACAAATTTGTTTTTAAAATTAAAGTTTGTTTTTAAAACTCGATTATTTTTTAGTTTAAAAACAAATTATGATTTTATTATTCATAGGTTTATAAATTTACTGTCTCATATTCCCTTTTCATAGCTAATAAGCAAAGAGAAACATATCTTATTATTCTTCTTTATATTATCAAAGAAGCATTGAAAAAATGACTGCTTATTGTTACGTATAACAATGCAATATTATATTGAGAAATTGATTATAACTAATATTTTTTTTTACTTTTTGTCATTCAATCCTACTGATGTTTAGATCTAACATTAAGCAGGCAAACACGAACAGTAACAAAAAAGAACTTTATTAGAAAAGGTTAGAACTGTCACAGACATCCTCGGGCAACACCCGGACAAAATCCAACGAACTTTCGCGCCTTTTCTTTTTCTCACGTTGCCAGCCACTCTTGTTGGCAAGTGTTGCCAGACAGAGTTCGTGATCTTGGCAAGTGTTGCCAGACAGTGTTCAGGATCTCTGGCGCTGGCGGCCACA